TGTCCTCCCTCTATAGGGGGGAGAGGGCTCCCATGATGCACCTGTCCTCCCCCTGCTCTCTTTCCTCTCCATGTACATGTGACAATATTGTTTGTTTTGTGTGATTGGATCACAGAAAAATCTCAGAGCAATCTCGTGGTTTCCTCATTGGGTTTTTCTGTTAGCACATACTCAGCACAACTCGGCCTGCTTGGAACCCTGGCCGAGTAGGTGGTAAAACCATAACTGTCAGGAGCAGCCCCTAATGGATTGAACTTGAAAAACTTAGTAGAGACAAGCTGTGTGGAAAGGCCCCATGAGAGAAGACTAACACTATTTTATAATTAATTGGACTGTGTATCTGAAGTGACCAGAAATAACATCCATCCAAGCATTTTCTGTACCGCTTATTCCCAAAAGGGTCACGGGGGGCTGGAGCCCATCCAGGAGAGAGGTGGGTTATACCCTGAACAGGTCGCCAGTCTATCATAGGACCACACAGAGACACACAACCACACTCACATTCACTCCTAAGGGCTGTTTGGAGTGTCCAGTCAACCTAACATGCAGGTTTTTGGACGGTGGGAGGAAGCCGGAGAACCCGGAGAGAACCCACAGACACAGGAGAACATGCAGATCCACCCAGAAAGGGGACTAGAAGCAGGAACCCCTTTCTTTGAGGAGATGGTGCTAACCAACACACCACCGTGCCGCCGGGGGGATAACATCTGTGGTGGTTTTGCACCTCATCCATAAAAGTGGATTCATATCCCTACATGGACTGTTTAGGCGGTAACACACCTTGTGTGAATCCCAGTGCTGTAAAAACACTCAGCTTTAGCTCATGGTTGCTGTGCGTGGCGTTTCCATGCACGTCGTCAGCCCAAAGGCTCAGCCAGTAGCTGTAGGCCAGCGAGGCCGTTTGCTGGAAGGCACAGAGGAAGATGATGGTCATGAAGAAGGTGAGGCGGATGGTTGTGAAGTACTCCCTGTACATCTGCAGCTTCACCTGACAGCAGAGGGCCGGGTTAGTTCATCTGACACGGGAAAATGACACCTGATGAACTTCAGGAGCTCAAACATCAAGTCACTCCGTAAAGCTTCCACTAATCTCAATGCTGTTTCCAGACTAAAACTGTATTTTCATTCATAACAAACTATTATGGTTTATTAATCATATTAATGACAATGTCTGTAATGATGAAAGGAAGCACCCACTCTGCCCGTGTGAGCCTTGTCAGCTTCTGTAAGTTTTCCAGGATCGTCCCGGTCCAAGTCCTGATCCACCACCTCCACCAGTTTCACACTGGCGCTGCTCATGTCACAGCTGGAACACACACCGACGGAAATACCCGAGAGGGAAATCTAAACACTGAGTTACAGCCGTTTCCTATGATCTGTTCAGCTAAAATGACTTTTTGTTACACTTTTCCCCCCTGCTCTACTTTACAGGCCTGATGTTAATGTTTAGGGCTTTGCTAATACACTCTTCATTTACAGAATCCATGCCCTGATGTGTACCTGATCAGCTGCTCCTGAGACAGATCAATGGAGAATTCTGTCATACTGAGGCGGGACACAGACTTCCTGCTACCTGTAAACACAGTAGGAACAAAGTCTTTAAGGCCTCATCGCTGATTTTATGTGAGCTCAAATTTAAGTTGGCATATCTTGCTGTATTTCACCGCTTTTGAATGCATTAGTGCCGACTTTACAGATATCAACTGGTCTGAAAGCTTCCTCTGGACATAACTGCTGTGTGTAAACACCTGAATGCAAGTTTGCTGCTCTCCCTCTGAGAGGAGCATTTCCAGTTTTGTCCTCTCTGGCCTATAATGACAGCCTCTTTGCATGGTTTGGGTCAACAAGATTCTTTTGTATTATTATTTATGAATATTTTCTTAAATATTTTATTCCAGTTTTGCAGAAATAAGAATAAAAAGAAAAATATAGAAAAACAACTAGAGAAGGATTTTTTTTCAGTTGTAGTGTAAGCTAGCTGTCTAGCTTTGCAAAGTCACACATGGTGTGACTGCATAACCTGTGACCAACACACTATTGAACAGGTACAAGTTTAAATGGCTTTTGTTTTGTCACATTTAAACACAAACCTGATACAAATGGATCAGATTACATATAGAAATCATCCAACCCCATTTTTTAATATATCAAAAGATTTTAAACATAAATATACATGAATAATGAATATTGTTATTATTAAGTCAAGAACATTGAATAAAAAAGTGTTACTCTATATTCTTGGAAAGTTCATTATCACCTATTTGTTGCTCCAAAACAGAGCAAAGACATTTTATTTTGGTGCCTGTTATTTTGCTTTTTGATCCGTTCAGTTCAGATTCTTACTCTTCTCTTTGAGAATTGGGCTCTCTCTGCGTTGGGTCACACTGACGGTGTGGACTAACTTCGCCAAAAGGCCCTTTGTGTTCATCAGCTCCATGTAGGACCCCATCTCAGAAATGCGGCCGTCTTCCATCACCAGAATCAGGTCCACTTTGGACAGTAAGCTGAGTCCATGAGTTACCAGCACCCGGGTCTACACAAACACAGCAAAAAAACGTAAACACAATCAACCAGGAGTCCGCAAGTCCGGTCCGGGAGGGCCGCTATCAAGCAGGTTTTCACCACCAGGACCCCTGGTCCAGTAGCCTAAAGTGACCGGTGGGAATTGTTGGGTTTCTGTAATTAACCTCAGAGCAGGGTCTGACCTGCTCTGTTTGGAAAATGCTGTGAGACAACTATTGTGATGTGCCGCGATATAAATAAAATTGATTTGAATTGAATTGAATTGGATGACAGGGTCTTCACAGACAGGTTTTAGAGTTTCCCTGCCTCTGATGAAGAGATCAGGTCAGAAGTTCTGCACTGCCTGCTAATGGCACATTGATGTAAAGCAGGAATGTTGAAGAAGGAAACAAGCATTGCTGACCCAATGCTAAAACAACAAGACAAAGATTTCACTTTTTTTCAAAGTATTAGAGATAAAAGCTCAGTTCACTACTAAAAACAGTTTTTGAGCTATGGTCCAACTAGCTAAAAGAGGTGTGTTTCCAAGCTAAGGTCCCCACTCCAAACCACAGAAAGAAGCACACGTTGATGAGAGCTGGAGGTGAGACAGCAGAGACAGTGGTTGAAAAAGAAGATGGGGAGGAGGTTGTATAACGGTTAGGGTTAGCAGCACTAATAGTAGCACTAAAACCAAATGAAGTAAGGTGGTCAGGGCTGGAGATTCCAAAAGCTGACCGAAGCCAGACAAGGACAGAGGATCCCATGATGGGTGGAGAGCTGAGGCATGTTGCTAGAAAGCAAGACCAGTCACAGCTCCTCCTCCCTGAGAAGTTTGCTAAGCTGGATTGCAAAGGATTTCATGAAGATATGAGCATTAAATAGCTGAGTTTTTACCCATGTCTGAGCAATGTAACACAATATAACACAAGACTGCTTCTTTGAAACTAGTTTCAGGGCAGAGGTTCTGTTTATCTTTGAGGACTAGCCACAGGCAGCTGCAGGACTCACCTTCCCCTTCAGGAGTCCGCTGGGGCCAATGACTCGATCAAAGATGTGCTGTCCCACATGAGCATCCACAGCAGATAGCGGATCATCCAGCAGGTAAACGTCTGATCTACGGTAAACGGCCCGAGCCAGACTCACCCTCTGCCTCTGTCCTCCAGACAGGTTTAAACCCTAAAGGTCAGCAAACACATCGTTAGAAGCTCGGACTCACAGAAGACAAAAACATGAAAAACCCAACCGTACAACAGTCAAAATGTGCAGTTCAAACCATCCGTTTGTTAGGGTTTAATCAAATGAATCCACCGGCTAAAGAGAAAACAATCAGCCTACCCATGGTCAGACACCTGAAACTGAGTCTGAGATGGTACCTTCTCTCCAATCTCGGTGCTGTCTCTGGAGGGAAGGAGATCCAGGTCTGGCAGCAGAGCGCAGGCGTCCAGCACACGGTGGTACCAGCCCTCCTTACGCTCCCCACCAAACAGAATGTTTTCCTTCAGAGAAGCATTCTGGATCCAGGCGAGCTGCGGGACGTAGGCCAGGGAGCCCTGCAGCCCACAGCAAAAGACATCGATATGGGGCAACATGTCATCCAGCAACAGCTCAGCTTCATGGACCCAACCTGTCATGATTCCAGGGTTCATACGTCTGATTTTCTGGAAACTACCAACAGAGCTGGCCCTGACATGGTGATCACCTGCAGAGGCTTTTAAGGAGCTGGCTGTGGTTCATTCCCCGCCGAAATGTCAACCTAAGTGCTACCTCGAGCTGCACAGTAGTAAGATTTTTTCATTCCCAGTGTGTTTTCTAACCCTAACCCTACATTCTTCTAGCGCTTTCCCCGGAGTCTCCCTCATGACATGCAGCTACTGGATCACTGGACCTCTGCTCCCCTCACATCCTCTGCTCTCCAACGGTACCAGCCTCTGTTTCCCTGCACAGGGATCGCCCTCTTCCCTCTGGATCTGGCTGGTTCTTCCCTCCCTCAACGCACTCCCCGCACCAGCACAGCACATCTGACAAGAAATATTCTTAAAAGCGTCTGCTTCCCTGAGTGACTCTCTGCATGTGGTCGAAATGCTTCCTCATTCTTTGACACAACCAATGTTTTCCAAAACAAAAATCCCACAGCATATGATCAGTAACATTGGTCATCAAAGTTAATGGCGTGGGTCAAAAAACAAGAAACAAAAAAAAACTGAAAAATTTCCCCTGCTCACTTTGATTAAAACAGAGCCACTTCTTCTGTCCATCTCTCCCAAGATGGCCGACAGCAGAGACGACTTCCCAGAGCCAACATGGCCGACCACAGCCACCAGGGACCCCGCCTTCACCCTCAGGTCGATCCTCTGGAGACACGGATGCGTGGCTTCGGACCAGGAGAAGTACCCGCCCTCCACCACCAGGCTGTCTCCGTCTAGGACCAGACACGGCTCCGCTCAGGCCTGTGGCTCATTCACAGACTAGAGTTTCTATGTTTCTGTGTTTCTGGGCATCCATAGCCCTGTGAGAACAGTCCTACCTGAGTCATGCGGAAGCCTCTCCACGTTGTTCGTCTTTAACTCGTCCTGAGCCAAGAAGCGTCCCAGACGTCTCAGGGAGACGGCGGCCTGATGAACAACACGACTGTCAGCAGGACCAGCTCTAACCCTAACTCTAACCCATCTCCAACCCTAACCCAGCTCTAGCCCTAACCCTAACCCAGCTCTAACCCTAACCCTAACCCTAACCCAGACGTCTCAGGGAGACGGCGGCCTGATGAACAACACGACTGTCAGCAGGACGAGCTCTAACCCTAACCCTAACCCATCTCCAACCCTAACCCAGCTCTAACCCTAACCCTAACCCATCTCCAACCCTAACCCAGCTCTAGCCCCAACGCTAACCCAGCTCTAACCCTAACCCTAACCCTAACCCAGACGTTTCAGGGAGACGGCGGCCTGATGAACAACACGACTGTCAGCAGGACCGGCTGTAACCCTAACCCTAACCCAGCTCTAACCCTAACCCAGCTCTAACCCT